AAAAATGTATAGTAAAAAAAAAAAAAAAAAAATAACCAACTGATATTTATTTTTAATCAAATGACAAAACAATGAAAAAAATCTCTAATTGTCTGAGAATGTTACTTATTTGTAATCGATAATCGATATATCATAATTTAATCGCAAATAGACAATGTTATACTGATTTGAAAATTTCGAAATGAATATTCTGATATGTGTCGTTGAAAAATATCTATGAAAAAAAAGTTGGACAAGGAGACAATTGATGAAAGAAAAATAATAAATTTTTATATTTTATATTTTATGAAAATGTATGTATTCTGTCTTTATATATTTATATAGTATAATAAAAAAAACTTTTAATTACTTCTTTTATTATCTTCTCAATTATTTTATGCAAAAAGCAACTATTGAAGATTACTGTTTAAAAGAAGATTGTTTGTTATTATTCAAGTTAAAAAAAGTTAAGAAATATAATATTACGCGCGTGCAAATACATAATTTTCTTTAATTTTATATCATGAATTATCGATTCAATTATATCTATTATAAACTTCAATTGCATTTTTCTTTAACAATATTACAATCAATAATAAATAATTTCAAAGTAAACTGCATTTTAATAAGAAAAACTTAAGAGGACTTTCGAATAGATATGAGTCCAAGAATTTAATCAACAAAAAATTCTATCAGTAAAAAATTTCGAAGTTCAAATTAATCTCAACGACTATTGCGAAAAACTCTGAGAGGGATATGTTTTTTTTTTTCTATGAACAAAAAAGACATCACCATTCAACATCCAACTAATCGAATTTTCTCGATTCAATTGGTTTCCAATGTAAACGTATGCGATGTCAAAACGAAAAATGATCACCATCTTATCGTCCATTCCTGCATATTTTTCGTTCAATGGACGTTCACGACCAGAATTTACAGTGCGAGTGCGCAAAACCGGTATCTACTTTGTTATTTGGCATTCTTGCACCGTCTCGGTAAATACAACTCTGTGGGAGGGGGGGGATAGAGGAAGAAACCCGCTTGTTGATGAAAACCCCTGAAGAATACATGCGTTGGGGATAGCATTTTCAAAAATAGTTGGTAAATTTAGTTGGCAAGGAGGAAGGTGGAGTGAGTTTTAAAATTTCCTTATAAGCAGTGGCCAGTTTTTTCCCCCGCCCCCTCGTTGTCGTAAATCTTCCGGACGACGCGAGGCGATGCAGGATTAAATTTTGAGCAAAAAAACGTGGCTGGCCACGAATAGTGTTGCTTCCTGTAAAAATTTCACGAGCAACGGAAAAGCTAGTTTCGCGAACATCGCGAAATAGGACGGAATAGGACGAAACTGAGAAAATAAAAATTTCATCAAAAAGGTAAATTAAAAAATTTACGAATGAAATGAATACGGGTACGCGATTTAATTCGTTCGCGGGTAAATTTGGTTTTATCGGAAACTAATGCCAAAGATTAATTGATAGGAATTTGAGTTTTCGTGTTCGGATATTATTTTGGTAATATGTGTTTGTGAAATGTTGATAAGCGAAACGACGCAATACGATATTGAGAAAAGTGATGATCGGTGAAACAGGTGTTTGTTTTAGAAAACAAAACGGGACGAAAAGTTGAAAATCGAAGAGGACATTGCGGTTTTCGAAATCACAAAGTAAAATAGCTTTGGGTCGGCCGATAACGGGTTGGTTTTGCGAATCGATCGCAAATGTTCCTCGCTAACACAATGCAACTGCATCGAACCGAATCGAACCGAATCGAACCGAATCGAACCGAACCGAACCGAATCGAATCGAAGGCCTCTGATCATCTTTGAATTTTGAACACGCGTCACACTCCCTTGCCATTTATTTTCTATTCCCTTGTACGTTGTGGAAACGTGCGGGATTTAAAAATAAAATTCAAGTAATTTTATAAGTTACTTCAATATATCTTTCTAAAATAAATACTTTTTTGAATATTATTTTGAATATTATTTTATTTTACTTTTCGAATTTTCTAACAAAAAAAAAAAAGAAAATAATTTTGATCTAACAAAATCATCGATATTTATATATTTTTTATAATAACGAAGCACCTAAAATAAATTTCCTGAATATTTGTTATTAATAAAAAAAAATATGTCCGATCAAATTTGCATAATTTAATTAATTTAAAGCAAATAGAATAATAAATATGAATAAAAGTTATTAAAACTGTAAAAGAAAATAGTTTATTGCATATAACGAATTTTATTTATACATTTACGTATTATAATTTTTTAAAAATCTTTTATAATGTTTGACTGCAAGAATCTAATATTTTCAGAAAATTTTTCTGCATACATATATATCTTTTATAATTTGATGACATTCGATAAATAGATCGTATTTACTTTCTTTATCTTTGAATAACATATTTGGAAAATTAGAAATTGCATATGGATCAAATATCGCAAGCTAACAATAATATTCATCAGGTACAGAAATAATGAGGCAACGTAATTGAATGTTTGTTTGTATTCGATGATTCGTATTATCATATATTACTAGCAATCGAAAGAATTACAATAGAGTTTTATCGTTCGCATAAAATAAATTTTTTTTTTTTTTGCTTGTTGACCTTTAATCTTGAATAGTCTTCATGTTTTAAAACATGTTTTAAAATACTTTACTAGAAAACGTAAAAAAAAAAGAAACAAATCATTCATCAAACAATTATTTACATAAAATTATGTATTTCTCGATATTGTGCACATTCTTTTCTAATAATTATTAACCAAGATATTCAAGTGGCTTGTTTTATGTGTTTCATCCTATTTACATATGTATAAATTTAATAAATAACATCGAAAGAATTTGAATAATAATAAAATAAAAATAAAACAAAAGAAAATAATCTAAAAATATAGATAGATTTCTTGATTTTTTGAAACATATAATGTTTTTTTATAATTTTTAAAAAAGATATAATTGAAAGAATTTTTCGCGTTCTTTGATCAAAATTCAAATTTAAAATTCTTTTTCTCTCAAATTCATCACTTCAATAAGTTATAAAATAAATGATAGCGATTTACATTGATGAAGTTTAAGAATTAAAAATAAATTAAAAACAAATCGTAATTCAAGCATTCGATAATTATGCAGAATAATAGAATTAACATCTCTGATTTTAATGACTTTGAAATATATTGTCAAGGACGTCATTCTGAATAATTTTTTCCTATTAAGTATACAATGAATTTTAATTTTCGAGATATATTCCAAAAATTTAATTTAAAACTTATATAAATTTTAATTAAATTTTGATAGATTGAAATATTTAATGGAATATAAATAAAAAAATATTCAATTTTTGACTTTTAAAGGTAATAACAAAAAAAAAAAAAGAAATATCTTATAAATGAAAATATACATAAATAAAATAACTTGAAAAAATTGATTTATAGATATAAAATTTCTGACAATATAAATATATAAATATTTATTCTTAATTTAAAAGGAATTCTTAAGAAATGTTTACCATTTTATCTATATAAAGATAAACATATTTTTGCAAATATTTCGAAAACTAAAAGAGAATTCATCTTTTATGTGTATAAGAAAAAATTATTCCGAATAAACAATCTTGATAACACATTTCAAGATCATTGAAATCGCATATATCTCTGTTATTCTGCATATTTACCAATTTTATATTTACTCTTTTCATATCTTACAAAATGGAATATTAAAAATGTTTAAATCAGAATTATAAATAATTTAATGTAAAAATATCGAATTAAATTTTAGATATGTAATATATACATGTATTTATTATTATATTATTATATTATTATATATGATAACATTTATCATTGCATCATTGAATATTGACAATTTTTCACGTACCGCATACCGTGTATACTCCAAGCTATCGCAATTTCGTCGAAATACAAAAATCATCTCGGTCTGTTACCTAAGAGTATTGGTCGATATTGGAAGACATCCGATAATCCGGGATTACTCGAGTCGCCGAATTGCAAGCCATTCATAGTGTCGCGTATTCTTTTATATCCGTTCCCCATCAATCGCAGTACTACATATTATCAATTATGTGATATTATGTATATTATGACATCATTTTCGATTTTCCAATAATTATGTTTACCAGAAAAATTTTGCCATAAAAATCTTAATAATAATGCTATTTATTTATCTCGTTTGATAACGTAACAATGTGTCGATATATATGATAACAAATTTAAATCGGTTGAAATATCGACAAAATTTTCAAAAGTCATTATTGTTACGTTATGATAAACGAGTTTTAAATTGTTATGATACTGAACAAAATGATAAAATATTTTATATATTTGAATATTTTTTTATAATTAAAAGAAAAAATAGATTTTTATTGTATGAGTTTTCATATCCTATATATATTTATATTAAATGTATGTAAGTAAATATATATATTAAATTATTTATAAGAAAGAAATTAGAGAGAAAAAATTTAAACACGAAATGATTTTATAGAGAATATATAATATATGTATTTTCGATTTTTATCTTTTCTAGTAATAATAATTAGCATTAATTAAAAGCAAATATAAATCTTTATTAGTATACTTCTTTCTCTTTCTTTCTTTTTCTCTTTCTCTTCTCTTTCTTTTTTTAATCATTTTATTTATTATTTATCATCTATACGATATCTTTAAGTATAAACTCATTATCAAATTTGGAATTACATTGGAAATACATTAAAAAATTTAAAAATATCAATAATTATCATTTGAGAGAAGTTGACGAAATATATTTTATGTAAATGATATTATATACAAGTTCAGATAAAAATACTATAATTGATATAAAGATAAGGTAAATTAAGTCAAATAATAATAGAATTGTGCAACAAGTATATAAATGAAACAAATGTAACGAAAATAATGTAGAAGAAAGAAAAGAGGAATCCAGTAATAATTCGAATTCTATTCTTATATCTAGTCATATGCATTCTCTGCTTTCGTAATGAGTTTAAAATAGTTCGAAGTGTAGAGAGAAAGAATAAATTTTTAATAACATTAATAATAAATAACATTATTAATAAACATGATAATGTAATATTATTAATAATAACATAATTAATAAATAAAATCACTTAATTGGCAATTAAAAAAAATTGAGACTCAAAAAAAAATTGAATATTAAAGAAAATTGTTGAATTTTTTTAAAAGTTTCTAATTAATTGAAATAATAATTATTTGCGATATATTTCAGAATAAATAATCTTGAATACAAAAGTAGAGTTATTCGAATATGTTTCACATTACGTTTCAGTTAGGATAATAGAAATTTTATCATTTGCTGTTTGTCTCCAATAATAAATTATAGCAGCTTGAAAATTACAAAATTATTAAATAGAAGATGTTATATAACAATCTCCTAAAAAATTCGAAATTTTATAAAAAAATTTTATAAAATTTTATAAAAAAGGAAAAACAGGAAAATTTTGCTATAATCTAATTCTATAGCTCTTTGCTATAATCTAATTTTATATGATAAAATTCGATATGTACAATATAAGTTGTTTTTTATTTTAGGAAAACTACTAAAAAAAATCATTGAAAAAATGAAAGCTTAATCTGTAAAAAATGTATCGTATTTTATACAATGAAACATGTATTGAACAAGCAAAAAATTGTGTTTAATTTTCTACGAAATCATGTTTTTTAGAAAAAGAAATGGAGAAATGTAATTTTGAGTAATAAAAACAGATGTGATTTTTATTTTTACGATTTGAAGAGAGATGATGAATGTTTTAGCTGTCGACAAACGGACGAAAGTAACGTGGACCGGTATTAAATACTACGGCAAAATTAAAATGAATTTTTCACAAATTCGTATAAATAGCGAATAATGTATCAAATTAATAAATAACTAGACGAATTTGCATGAAAGTAATTTGCAGTAATTATATTTTTCAGCAAAATAATACTGTAATATGCATTGTGAAATTAGTGAAATAATTAAAACGATTTTTTATTTCTAAAAATATGTCGAAATGAAATAATTTAAAAATATTTAGTCTAATTTGTCAATAATTATATATGCGAATGGAAGATAATTTGTAATGGTAAGGATTAAAAATTAAAGTTATTGAAATTTATAAAAATAAATAAAAAATTTTGTAAAACAATTCTAAAATGTTTTTTAAATGTTATATAATAGAATAGTTTATATATAGCATTTATTATATAATATATATAATATATTATAATATATATAATATATTATATAATATATATTTAATTAAATATTTCTCTAAAGCATTTTTAATCTTTTATCAATGTTTTATTAATATTTTTACAATTAAAACAAGTTTTTATTCAAATTTTTTTTCTAACTTTCTTTTTTACATCATATAACTTAAGATTTAGTTTATTTAATTTAGACTATTAAATTAGAGAATGTATTTATATTTAGAGTATTATGTAGCTATTGTATAAGAATCTATTGGATATAGTACTTATCTATTGTATAAGATATAAAACATATATTTTTTTCTTTCAATAATAAAATATTTAAATATATTTATTACATATCCTTTCACACTATATTCATATGATTCATGAATATTTTTTTATTTTTTAATGAAATTTTAATGAACAATTTTTTATACTTAATAAAACTTTGTGAATATGTAAATAATTATTTTTAATATAATTTTTTTTACCGAAATATAATTTTAAGAAAGTGAAAGGAATATTCAAACTTTCAGTGTATTTTTATTTTTTCAAATACATTTTTGTAACTATATGAGAAATAATAATAATAAAATTTTAACTTACAAAATTTTCAAAATTTAATATTCTATCTGAAACTTTGGAAGTTAAATTTCATTTTCTCAAACAAATTTTTTTTAAATACATTTTGTAACTATAAGAAAAACAATAATAATAAAATTTTAAATTACAAAATTTTCAGAATTTAATATTCTATCTGAAACTTTGAAGGTTGATTTCAAAGAAATTTTCCGTTAACAAAGAAATTACTTTATATATAATCTGTTATGATCTATATACTTGCGAACTTTCATTAAAATCAGAATTTTCAGATTATGTGAATTTCTTTAATGTAATATAAAATAATGTTTAAATAAATACTGTATATATCGGTAAATAGTACAGTATCGGTATCAATCATTGGAAAATCGTAATGATTTAAATTTATGTACAGAATAGTTGAAAAATTCTTTTGAAATTCATTTATAATAATAAATGATAATTTTCCAGTATTAAAACTTGTTAAAAATTATTTAATATCAATTATAGCTCAAGAAAAATTAGTAAATTTAGCAATGATTTTAATAGAACAAGACATTTGTTCTTGGCTTATGTTTTCATACATAAAAATTGTAATACTATCAAATTAAAAAGTTTTTTAAATTTCAAAAATAATGTTCCAAATTTGTTTAATTTAATATTTTTTTTTTTAAACTTAAAATGCTAAACTTAAAAAGTTTCTTATTGTATTATATTGTATTATATTGTATTCTTATTGTATTATACAGTACTCAAGTTTTTCATGATTTTTTTTTAAATCGTGATATTTTTGATTAAGCAAACAATGTATTCAAGAATATATATATAATTTGATAAAAGAACTTTGATAAAAGTTATCGAAGTGTAATAATAGTTATACAATTTCTTCTTATTGTTTTCTTATTATTTTTATTTGACGTTACTTTATCATTTCACTTGCAAAAATTTCTAATAAGAAAAATATTAAATTATATTTTGAATAGAATGAAAAAGAAAAAAAAAACAAGAAAATATTTATTTTAACAAAAACTCTGGAAGTGATGTTAAAGTACACAATAACCGGTACAAATACACTAGTTCATCCAATATAAACGGACAAAAAACACTTTCCGGTTTCCGGTTCATGTTTTGTTTCTCTATAGACGAATCGGAATGCGCAAAGAGAAACTTTTCGGTGTTTTGGAGAAACCGTTTTCACGTTACTCTCCTCCATACGAGTCACTTGTCCCGCTTTTGCGATTTTCTTTTTTCTCCCTATGCCCGTACTACAACGTTTTCGGCTTAGCGGATGTATTCGAGGCGGAAGCGGATGATTGTGCCGCATCGAATTTTTTCTTAAGATTTACTCGTACGAAAAAAATGAATACGCATCCTTTTCGAGGACAAGTTTCTCGAGAGACCCGAAGGAAGGATCGAAAGTTCGCCAAAGTCCTATTGAAAAGTTCCTCTTGTTTTATTAAAACGTGGCGAAAAGTTTCTCTTGGAAATTTCATTCTTGGTGGAAAGTGGAACCGCGCCAAATATTTCTATTTGCCTTTAGTGCACGTGCAGGTAATATTACGAAACCGATGTCTCGATATCGCGGACCAACCGTGTAACCGAGTAAGCAAAGTGACGTTCATAAAGAAGCCTTTGTTTCGAATGTAAGACAACGTTTCGAACGATTTAAGTCAGAATTGAAGCCACAGCTTGCGTTGCGTTCGAGATTAAATTCTAAATTATAACTGGATTATCTTGGATTATAATACCATAACCGAACAATATTTCGGAAATATATTTTAAAGTTTCACAATCGCGATATATGTTCGGTTTGAACTGGAAACGTTCAAATATTTAGAAAAATACGAATAATATGAAAAAATGTTTCAGACAGGAATACAGTGTTTTTTATAGATTGATGCGTAGAGATATGAAGGTTAATTTTAATTTTCAATAAAATTGTATAATTTTTATCATGCCAATCGATATATTTTCTTTAAAAAAAAGTATTACTATATTACTATGTTGAAGAATCTTTAGTTTTTTAGAAGATATTTTATTTTGTCTTATCATATGAGAAGCAAGGAGAGCATAAGCAATAGAATATTGTTTCGCATACTTTTTGTTTTTCGTACAACGAATTTTATGAAATTGAAATTATATATCTCTTAAATTAAAAATATTTCGATATAAATAGTTTCTTGTAATAAATAACGAGTTGCTGAATTAAAATTTAAATAATTATTTACAAAAATGTTTTTGCAAAACAAAACTGTAAGGCGATTAAAAAAATAACTCAAAGTGCAAACCATTAGATTGATTAACAGTTAAATGAGTTTTTATTTCATTTTCATTTGAGATAAAATTAAATTTATAATCATTATAATTTTAAACTAAATTTTTTTTATTAAAAATTTTTTAATAAACAACGATCATCAAGTAAAACCTTAACAATATATTAAAAAAATTATCATGATATCTTTTTGTAAATACGTATAAAAACATTGCGTTATTAAAAATAACGTTGAATTAAATTTTTCCAGATATTTAAATAATTTCTAAAATATTGCATACGTATCAGATCGATACATATTTTGTTCTTACGTAATTCGTCGTAAAATCGAGAAATGAATAATTTCTAATTAAGTAAGAAAAGAAAAAAAAAATGTGAAAAGAACGAAAAGGTAAACAATTGTTGAGGAGAAAAGGCAGAAAAACGACTTGTTTGCATTTCGCGTTGAATGAACGTTAACCGAAGCGTTAGCGCCGAGGTCAAGCGGCACTATCCTCGAGATCTCGAGTGGATGTACACGTTAATCCACCTTTTGGAATTTGAAGACACACGAGTTCCTCTCGTGGCATTAACGCGTTACGCTACGTTACTTCACATGTAATACGTTGAAGGGATAGCGCGATATATACACGTGATAGCATAGGAACAAGGATGGCGAATAAGCAGATCGCATAAAGCAGGAAATTAATACTTCGTCTGTTTCCATGCATCGTTTACTTACATATGTGTGCATCCATACGCAATACGCGATATTCCTCTGTGATATATCTACCACCAATTACTTACCAAAGCTATTTTTAGCGAAAGATTTGATTACAATTAAAATCATATGGCGTCACGCGAACGCAATATTCGGTATTCGGTAAGTAGGGGTATTTTCATGTAGTCCCCCTTGTTTTCCTAGATATATCGTAGACATGTACAAGTATATATATGTGCAGCGGATGCACATACTAGTTCCCTGGCTGGTGCACGCCAAAGCAATTTTCCGTGAGTAAACTCGGCGCCTTTCGAGAGCTCTGACGCGCGTTATCTTACAACTCGAGTCAGGGTACGGATCTCGAGATCTGGCACCACCAGGATCTGTCTCTGTCGGGTGGAGGATATGGATTCTCCCTTTTCTTGCTTCTACGATGATTTCTAGAAAACAGAATAGGAAGATGAGGGAGTAGAAGGAGATAGGAGAGTAGAGAATAGAAGAGGGTGGGAATACGAGAAAGAGGGTCAAGAGGGAGAAGAACAAGTCTCCCCTTGAAAATCGTCTAGAATTCGCTAGAGAACAATCCAACTTTTGCCACAATCGTCATAAATCATTTGTTCATTGTCCTGGTCATGTCGAATATCCGTTTCGGGTTAATATCTGGTCATTTTATTCATTTGAAGAGGAAATTAAAATTATAGTATATATTTGAGGAAATTTTCGTTTTCATTTTTTAGTTCTAATAATATAGGAAATGATCAAAGATAAGGCTTCGAATATTGTAGCAAAAAAGGAGACAGTATTCGTAATGATCATTCAGAAAAGAGTAGTTTTCAATTTATAGGATGCAGTTTATAAAAAAGAAAAAAGGTGTATTTTTTTTTTTTAATTTTTTTTTTTTAATTTTTTATATCTCACAAAAAAAATTATTTGAATATATTACAAGGAAGTTGCAAATTTAAAAAAAAAATGAAAAAAGCATCGGTTTAAAATAAATAATTAAAGTTCAAAATAATATATTTTTTTTATATCATTCTCGTTATGAGATTTTTGTGTTTTGAGCTGGAATATGTCTCATTATCTGTATTCTAATATTTGTAATTACTTTGTTTAATATTATGAATTTATCAATTTTTATTTTATTTGTGAATAACACCAATGATACGTGTATTTTAAAAATCAGTGATGTATTGAATAAGCAAGCAAGATTATATTTAATAATTAATTAAAGTGAAAGATCTACTACATAATTATAGTTATTTATTTTATGTATAACGATTTTATTTTTATTATTATTATTATTTATAATGATAAATTTGAATAGAAATTGAATAGTTTTAAAGATATATATTTTAATTATATATTTTTTGTATAAAAATTATTTGAAGATCAGCTTTTTTTTTCAAATAGAATCATATATTTTTTTTAGACATTATTTGATGCAATTGATATTTTCCATAAAAAAATTATTAATTTAGAATATAATTTAAATTTTATAAAATTTACTATAAAAGAAAAGCACGAATAAATTTGTGTATTCTTTGTTTTTCATATAATAATTTTATGAAATTTAAATTAAAATATTTTCTAACTAAATACTTTTTTTTTAGAAAAAAAAATGAGTTGCATAAAATAATATATTACAAAATATATGATTTAATCATTTAACTTGAAATTTAATCGAAAAATGCATCTATCAATTACAAGTATCTAAATGTTTATTATTTTCTTAATTATAGAGATATAAAAATGCATTTTAATATTTAGAATTAATCGTTTATATTATGTAATATAAATTCTAATCTTACGAATATTATTTAAATTAATTGAAAAAAAATACAAATAAGAAATATTATAATAATTTATTATAATAAAAAAGTATTTATTCGTTTGATATCAAATTATCAATAAATAAAAATTTAATAAAATTTATTATTATGAACATAATTTTTCAGAGTATTTTTATTGGAAATAAATTATAAAAATTAATAAATTAATAATTCAGTTGAATATGATATCATTATTCGAAACATGTAAAACTACAAGACATTTTTTAATATAATAATATTCTTATAATATTATTATTAATATAATAATAAATAATCGTAAATTTTAATAATTAATAATCACTATAAAATATATATAAAAATCTTATATATAATATAAATAAAGTCATCAGACTAGATGGAAGACGTGCAATTCATTTTTGGTCTGAAATAGCTATTACATTTTAATTTAAGTAGTTTGAGAAAATAAGATTGATCTTCATAAGTTCTTGACGCATCTATCCATAAAAAAGTAAAAACATGAGAATGTATATTCTTTGAAACTACTCAACTTTTATTCATTTCTCACTGCTAATAATAATAACAAAAAAGAAAAGTCAAAATGGTAATTTTAAGTGAGATACTTTGTATATTATATCCATATACGTTCTGGTTTGCGAGCAAACCTACCGGAACGTACATGGAATATGTGCAATTATTTTGACCTGTGCAAGCTGCCGGAACAAATACGAAAAATCATTCGATATATTTAAATCGAATAGACCCATACAAATAAACTGTGATAATTATTTGGTTACATATATGAAATATGACATATATTTTTTTGTATTCAATTTATTTTTCAGTTTGTAAAACTGAAAATTATATAAAAAAAATTTTTTAAATTTTTTATTTCGTTCTTAAATAGTTATATTAATCTTTAAGTACAATTTAACAAGTTTTCATTCGAATAAACTTTTTTTTCTTCTCAAAGATTTTTTACTTTATATAATTTGTTTAAAACTAATTTGTAAAAAACGTCATCCATTTCATGATTTTTTACTAATAAAACTATAAAAAGTTTATCTGAGCATATATAGTTTTATGATTTAATATAAGATGATTAATTGTATTTAATATTAATTTTTACAATATAAAATAGTATTTGCAATATATAATTATATGTATAAACATCAAGTGGAATTTTGATAAAGATTCTCTAGAATTTCATTTAGAATTTGGAAATTTCACTTTGTTTTTCTATTTCTACATATTAATTGTTTATAATTGGATTATAGAATATTAATGTTTTTTTGTGAAGAGCATTACCTTTGTCTTGTCTGAGTTGATGTTGAGTTTGATTTAGATGAAATAGTACTCTTCATTATTCATTTCATCAAAATAATGATGAAATTTTTTGATAACTTGAGGTAGTTATCATAAGAAAGTATATGTCTTTATAATTGTGTCTTTAACATAGATTGTTGAATGTAAGAATATTACTATCATTGTATTATTATTGAATCAATTATTATCATATATTGAAGAGGATAAATCCTGGAATATTATTATTGAATCAATTATTGTCATATATTGAAGAGGATAAATCCTAGAATAGATTCATAGAGTTTGTGCTGAATTGATTTGATCGTGGAGAGCTTCCTAGATATTGCTAGAATCATTGCTTGCGTTGTTAGAAAATATATTATTTTAGTAATTTAGCGATATTTAATTTAATTTGTAAATCAATCCATTGTATCATGTAATATCAAATGCTTTCAAGAATAATTTAAATAGAATTAAGCTTGTATTTTTTTCATTAAAATTCAGAATGTTATGTTTTGTCATCATCAATTCTCAAAAATTTGGTAGAATATCTAATTCTGAAGTCAAATTGCTCATTATAATATTATTTCCTCAATAATTGTAGATTGATCCTTCGAAAATATTATAATATATATATTATAATATTATATATATTATAATATTATAATATATGATATTTAATAATAATAATAATAATAATAATGATTGAATAGGCTAGTCTTTTGTAATTTTCAACTATCAATTTTTTTTCACTCTTAGAAATATAATTATTTTTATTTTTCTTCAAATGATGGAGAAGATATGTTTGCTTGATGAGTTAGTAAAGATGGATTTCTTGGATAAATATTTAATGTTGATGTAATTTTACTTAGAAATTTCTTATGTATATTATGATTACCTTGTATATACCTATTGGATTTATGAAAGTGATATCCATGGTTTCTTATGCATTCTTAACGTTAATTGCAGTTTGAAGTAATGGAATTTCAAGATGAAGTGAGATGATTAGTGAAGAGATGTATTTGTTGGAACATGTGGGTTTTATCTACATTGAGTATATGTCTACTTATCCTGTAGAGGTGAGAAGTGAATTTGTTTTGGAATTATTTTAAATATACTTTTTTCTGCTTTATTATTTTGTATTTTAAAACATTTAAAAATATTATTTGTTTGATTGACAATATAATTTTCTGACGTTTCTTTTAATCGATATATCTTAATATTGTATATTCATAAATGAAAATATGCAAATACAAATAAGAGATTTTTTATTTGATGATATTAAATTGATACAAGAAGCATGCGTTCACCAAGAAAAAAGAAAGAAATTCGGTAATAACAATTGAGGATTTCATACTTCTCATATTTACTTATTTATTTCTTCGCTTCATGGTATTGTAATTCCATTTCAAATGCATACACATGAATATGAAAAACATAATACTTAATCTGAGTTAATATTTTTTTGTCGTGGGCATGCTTGTTATTATATGTTCGTTGTAATATAATTTATATGAATCTTTAATTGATATCGGTATTTTACTGCAGTTTTACTGCAGAAAGTTGTGAGTAGTATGAGTAAACGATTAGAGGAAAATATACTGTCGTACAATTTGCTTTATAAGAATGATTAATAAGGAACATATTTAATGTTGAAGTGTCTGGATTTATGCGAATATATATCATATATGGAATATATTATTTATGTGTGCTCCTTGTTTCAAAGTCTACACTTGAAATTCAGGCCTCCATGGATAAGATATAATAACAATCATTTGTAGTTACTTGTTAATAACAATATTTATATCTCATAATTTTTATAATAAAGCTTGATATATCGAGATATATATTATATTTTAAATAAAGCAAATCTTGAACTAGATATTTGATTAAAATGCATTTTTTATTTAGAGATTTTAATGCATTAATATAACAATTTTTTTTTTGTAATGATGTAATTTTTGAAATTGAAAAATTATTAGATTTTAGCTAAGTTTCTTTGAGAGTTATTTCGATTTGATAAATAGTCTCTAATAAAAATTATTTAATTTATTTTGACAAACAAACTTGTTTTGTTTAAACAATTAATTGATTGATTTAGTAACAATTAGTAACATAATAGTTATAGCATAGTACAAACTTTTTTTGGTATTTAATTGTCTGTTGAGATGATACTTCTAAAATAGCCATTATCATTCTTTCTGAATTATTATTGTTTGTAGTCATTGTGTGAAATATCTTAATGTCAGCATTGTATGCAAATCATAAGGTTTTTATTTGAGGTCTGTAGGAGAAGATATTATGAGTGTGGGTTATGAAGTGGCTGTCTGATCATATTTTCTCAGTATGGTTGATAGGTTGGGTAGAGAGCAGAAGGTTATGTTGCTTTTTCTAAAGTGTTAGGAATTGTATGTTGGTGATTTGTTGCTTGTGATAGATGTTTTATGATGGGTTTTTTAGTGAGATGTATCAATAAAGCAAAGTATTGGTTGAAATTCGCCATGTGATCTCTCTTACATTCAGTAAGATTGTCTAGATTGTCTTTTCTTGAATTCATATATATAGTAATTTTGTTACAACTTAATATATCCATCTGTTTGGCAATAAAAATTTTGTAAATTCTGTAATGAAAGATTTTTTTTAAATGAAAGAAAATAAACTGAAAGATTATTTTAAATACTAGATATTTTGTTAAACTATCTCTTTGCATTTCAAGAGGAAAGGACATTAATATTAAGAAGATTATTTAAATTAATAAATAGAATAGAAAAAGTTTATTTTTTATTTTTTTTTAATTAATGAATTAAATAACTTAAATTTGACTTTAATTTAATCTATATATTTTTTTCTTTTATATTTAAGAACTTCAAATAAAATAGAAAAGATATAATTAACAAATTTTATCTTTATTTAAAAAAATACACTTCTTTATTCAAAATTTTATCAATAATATGGAACCCTGAATATTCTTTTGAATACAAATTATTATTTATATATATATTACAATAATTATATATTATAATAACTATTACTATATAATAACTATTACTATTACTATATAATAATAACTATTATTATAATATTTAATAAACTTTTATTAATTTTGAATTATTATTATTAATATATATTTAGATGTATATTATTATATATAAATTAATTATTTAAAAAATCACAAATAATCACAAATGTTTTTACATGAAATAACACAAAATAACAATATTTTTCGAGACACATCTAAATTATTATTTAAAAAATAAAAAGAACATTATTATTATTCTATTAATATGAACTAGGAATTGCATATTATTTTCACATAATACACAGAATTGTAGATTAACAATAATAAGTTAATTTTATGAATTTTTTCGTTTTATAATTAAAATATGTCAATTATATATTATTTTTAAAAATGTTTTAACAATTATCAGTTGAAGAAATAAAAAAGTGATATATACATAATATATATATTATTTAATAATTATAATAATTTCTTAAATATGAGCGTTCAAATTTTTAGTGGATTACAGATGAAACTATTCTATTCATATAAGGTTCTATAGATATGATATATAGCTAGACGTCATCGGCACGCATAGCTAACTTAATACTCTTATAACGACAACTGTTATATTAATAACATTTAGATAAACAGTATTCAATGTATTAATAAAATAAATATATATATAAATATATAATAAATATATAAGTATAATTTTTAATGTTTATTATCGAAAGTTTTTTATTAACAAGTAAAAATTATAATAATAAATATTCGAAATTGAAATTTTAGATCAGAAATTCACTCCTTCTTCCTTTATTTGTTATTTCTCGAAATTTGTTGTCAATTAATAATGTTAATAATGTAAATGAAATTAAAGAAACATTAAGAATCTTGCTTTTTGCAAATCATATCACGACATTTGATGACATTAAATTCCATAGAGTCCATTAAACAAACACATTCAATTAACCTCTCAATAGTTGATTATGGATGTAATAAATCCGTATAAGATGACGCAATTCTAAAAATCTTTAACGTTACGATAAGAAGTTACAATTTATAATTGAATCTATATAGAATAAATCTATATAGAATAGATTCAAGAATTCTCAAAGCTGATTGTGCAGTTAAAGTTGCTTAGAAATGCTGATCATCTTTTGATCATTTTGTTTAGAATGTAAGAATTTTTGACTTGTCTTTTGACACATTGTTGTTGATTGATTTTACTTTGATGCAAAATTTTGCCTTTTGGCACAGAGATCTCTCCTTGAAGATCGGAATGCGTGGGATGTTTGTCCAGTTGTTGTTTGAGGTTATGTTTCACAGTCTTAATTGATGAAATGTGATGTGTTGGCACTTCCGGCGTTTACAGTTTCACTAGGTTGTTTTCATCTACGATTTCCTACTTCTATAGCTGTTATTGTTTTTCCTATTTCGATTTAACTTCGAATTCTATGTTCATTTTAAGCATATTATATATATATCTATTACATTATAGAAGCGAAGAAAAATATAGGAAAACTATTTTTAAATTTAAACTTTTGGAAAAATTTAAACTTTTATTAATAATTTTTAACTTTATATCAAATTTAAGATGTTCTCTAAACTCTGAATTTTCCTCATTATTTTGTTTTTATTATTTGTTTCAGTTAAACATTCTCTTAATCAATTAGATTTTTCATTATTAGTATACAAAAATGTATAAAGTTAATAAAATTCAGAAAAAAAATATATATAAAAAAGTTTCAGTAGTGCAATATAAGAGTCAAATCGGTATGGTAGGGATGTCTCTTCGAGCCAAGAAATCAAGAACGCGGCAGGTCAATTGCGACTCGTGGATCGCCAGTTCATCACCTCTGGCCTATAGTATTTAGAAACATGCAACCACTTGCGCCGATCACTTTCAAATTGTCAAATTTAAAATAATTAGAATTAGTATTGAATAAATAGTTTAGTTAGGATGAGAAAGAAATGAGTTTGATATCAGAGAGGGTCAAGCGAAAAAACATTGAATCAGGAAGAACGTAGATTCGTCTGGCGAGTTTTGTAGTGCGTAAGTATATACGCATCGCGCGGCTGTAGGGGGGAATCCACTCACTCGTATAAAACCGTAGAACGAGTCGCGGCTCGAGTCAGTTTCGCTCGCGCCTCGCGTGAGTTTCAGTTCGTGTCGTTGAGATAACGGCGTGTCGTTTTCGTGCTCGACGGCGAATTTCGATTTTGCCTACGTTTCTTCGCGCGTTCGATCAATTTTAAAACGCTTGACTCGTTCAAATTACTTCAACGACTGCATTTACATTACTTACCCAAAAGTTACTTGTCATGTTTCGCGAAAAAAATCGTGATCGCGACAAAATTTTGTGGTCTCCATCCATTGCCTTTTTTTGATACTTCTCGAAGAATATTCTAAGTAAGTAATCTAAACATTTGAAAAATTGCCGGTGCTTCTCGCGAAAATGATGATGAATGATTACGATCCAAGAATAATCCAGTGTCATGGAATAATTACTGTTTCCGCTCTCTTTCTTTCTTTTCCTTTCTCCTTTACGAATGATTAAAAGAAACTGCGAATAGACTACGAGAACGAAAAGCCAGTGAGAGATTTTAGCCCAAGATTTTCTCCATGTTGCCATCGTGATATCGTGTTTTGAATTCCTTTCGCGTCTCACCAATTTATCAGTGATCTGAAACTAAACTGGAATTTCAGGATTGACCTTGAAGACCGCTTCGCTTATCGGTTTGAAGTTGATGTTTATTTTTCACAAGACGTTAACTACGAGGCTCGGCAACCGTATCGGTGGTTTTATGAACCTACTTACAATTTCTCAGGAATTCGCGGTGGCCGTGAAAGACGAGCAAAGCCACAGGTGGCGGTCAGAGAATTGATCAATGGTGGGGGAAAGTCAACGATGTTTTCGTTCGCGAGTTGCGCTCGCATCGCTGTTTCTTTTTTCACTCGTTACTGGCGAAGGTCGAACTATCATCGTTTGCTAATTCGCACTTTAATTCGTAACTACAGAATATCTATAATACGCTTTTATTTCGTTCGATTCGAATTAATCTTTGTGTATTTTTAAAACGATTTGGCAATGTTATACAAATAGAACAGCTCGCACATAGAACTCGCAATAGAACTGACATCGAATGAATTATTTTCCAATTCTGAGAAGTCTGGGTAAAAATTAGAACGCGTTAAGAAAATTATGGCTCGACTCGCGTGAATGATGAGCTCGCAAGTGGTCGTCCAGTTGTTCGAATGGATGTTGGCATTTAAGAAAAGACTTCCTCGTGGTTCGGCATGAGGACAGATTTATGCGGCCAGACAACCGTGCCGAAGTTGTCTTAGGTCCGGTCGGAAAGCCAGCTAGTATTTTGGTTCGAAAGTTTGCGAAGCACGTGGCATCGATTTTTCGTCGCATCCTATTGCAACGTGTCGAATATTTTGGATAGCAACGTGAAACAGAAAGGAAAGTTTTAATATAAAATTTAATAAAAAAATAAAGAAATATATTCTAATATTCTTCTAGAACTACAACTTCACACAATGTAACATATTTAGAACTATTTCTTTTTATCACAAATGCTCGTTCAACACTGTACAAAAATATACGACGATTCATCGGTATATTTTGGATCGTGTGGAACAAAACTAAAAGTTTACAACATTCGTGTTTATGTTTTGAACAACATTCTTTACGGATTTAACTTTTCATTCGTGAACTCGATTCCATTCGTTCGACTTTTCGTTTTATTTCTTTGATTTGGAAGGCGAACGAAAAAGGTGAGATTTATTTTCGTCGCTTATCTTATCGCGCTACGTCACCGTTTTAAGAATGCGAATCGTCGAAATCTCTTGCCAAGCGCCCGATTTAAGTACATACATACATATAAGTGCATCGATATCAAACTAACGATGACCGAACCACATTTTTTTGTAAGTTTTATTTTATAATGTTATGGAATAGAAAAATAAGTACACGCAGAGATAAAAGATAGAAATAGAATAGAATCTTTTTGTAATAAATGACTTATTATCACATTTTTATCATTTTTCTTTTCCTTTATATGTAATAAGTAATCAAAATATCTAAGTAATCAAATTTTGTCCGTTCTTAATTGAATTCAAAGTACTTGATGAATATTTTCAATAATTATAAAAACTATATATTGATACCAAAGTTCAGCATTAAAAAACAAAATAGTTAAAATTTTTGAATATTTAAGTAATTATTTATTAAAATGTTTGAATAATATAATTTATTCGTAATTATAGTTGTCTATTTTTCTTACTTTTAGCCATTTGATACTACAATTATTTGCGATAATTCTATATTTTAAATAATTATTGAATTATTGAATTTATTGAAATAACTTTATTCTTAAATTAAATTATTAATTTTTGTCCATTTCTGACGCTAATATTGGGGTGAATAATTAAATGATTGACGAATACAATATCAAGGTTATTCGAAATTTAAACAATATTGAAGTTTATATAATTTTCAGAGATGAGACATTCGAAACTTTTCGAAAAAATTTTAAATTTTCAAGTTTTTTTGCTACTTTATAATTCGATTAATTTTTAAAATTTATATAGATTAATAATAATTGAAATAAATAATTGAGTTTAGATTTTAATTAATATGACTTCAATAATTTATTAGACAAAGAAAAAATAAAATGTAAAAAAAATTTCAGAAACCAAAATTTATTAAGTTTTTAATCCAAAATTTCTTTAGAAAAAAAAAGCAAGAAGAAATAAAAGTATAGGTTTATTTTGAGAATTTGAAGTTTCTATATTTTTAAAAAATTCGAAATCTTAAAGTTTCGAATTTCACAAATCTGAAAATCAAGTTTCGACTTATATCTTGTAATTTTAATGCTGGAGTCAGTCACGAAAATTTTCATATATATATATAGAACATAATAGATTATACAATTTATCTTTGGATAATTTCTTTGCAAAATTTCCTTGAGAACATGAAATTAATTGTCAAATTTTCATCATTTTTTCATGTTTTGGAAATATTTTTTATAAATTTTTTTATAAAAGAGATTAATTAAAAATCTATATATTTTAGTATAAAATTTTACCCTATCTGTAAAATTAACATTTTAAAAAATGGAAGTAACACTGAAATTTTAAGGATTAATTCCTTCTTGAAATACTATTCCATAATAAAAAAATTGTTTTATGTATTTATAATCTATTATGACTACATATTTATTATTAAATATATTAAAAAAGATTATTGTTAGTTTTGATAACATAACTTATTGATCCTAAACTATATAAAGATATATACTGAATGTATACAAAATGATCCATAATTCATAATACAAATTAGGTCAGGGATATTCTAAAACTATAAATAAGAAATATAGAATACAATTTTGTTTATATTCGTTTTTGTTTCTGAGTTTGAAAATTTCTTAAATATAAAAAATTAGTTAAATTTTAATTGGATACAAATGAATTTTTAATAAGTGATTACTTTGCATATAAAAATAAGCAAAAAATGTAGAACAAAATTTTATTGCTTCTTTGTTTTTGAATCGAAAAATTTTGTTTTTGAAAATCAAATTGAATATACAAACAACGAGTAATTGATAACTTTTCACATTTGATTTTTTTTAAAATAATTTTAAGTGAAAAAAATATATTCTATGCTTTTTGCTTGGTTTCATATTTAAAATAATTTTCTATCAACATTTCATTCATATGTTATAGAAAATTAATTAATCTCACTTGTATATTTGAAAAATTTTTAAATTTGATTTATTCGAAAACAAAATTTTTTATGCAATTTTGTTATTCTTGAGTCAACTTATTTTGAGTCATAAAATCTGTCTGATCCTATTTGTACCATGAATGACGGACCAGCCAGTATAAGAGCAAAATAGACAGAAAAGGCGCAACGAGGATAAAAGCCTCCTGACCTTTCCATTATCTCGACAAACGTAAATAACGCGTTGTGCGAAGCGAAATTTTTGCGTTTTCGAACAGAATACCAACATTTTGTGAATGTTTTTTGAATTCGTGGTGAAACGTTTAAGCAATATGTTTTTCGTCGACGTTACGATCGTAGTAAATTCGCAAGTAAGCAAATATGATACTTGTTTGGACGTTCGAACGAACTAAGGTAGAAAATTTAAAGAGTGATTCTAGAGAAACTAAACACGAAAGTTGATTATGCAAAAATATTCGTTCAAACTTCTTTCGTATTATAAGCGATTTAATTTTGCACTACATGAAGTGAGATGGAAAGAGAGTAATGAAAACAGAACTATCTCACTCACTGCACGTTGTTTCACTTTACCTAATATAAAGTTAAATTCTTTTTAACTTGAAAAATAAACTTCGATAATATTTTTACATATAAATTTTTGTGTTTGTTTTCATTTTTAAAGTCATTCTTCAAATTTTCTACTTACTTCGTCCAAACATTTTGTGAATAATATACAACAAGTAACATAAAAATTGTTAAATTGATAGTCAGAACTATACAAAGGCAAAAATCTTTCCTATCTTTTATCAATACGTGATGATTTTATCTGTAAATATGACACTTTCTACAAATACCTTTATTTTTATGAATCTGTTGAAATCGACCAATTAGACCCGCATTCTTTCCAAGTGCCAACTTACCAGTAATGCAAGTGCATACATGCTTAAGCTCGTTAACAAACAATTCGAAGTAAAGGAGAGACGCCGAGATTAGTAGAGATCGGTGTCGAGGTCAGATCGGTCGAATAGATTAAATAACTGAAATAACTTCGCATTGATTTCGTTTCGGTTGGTTTCGTGTTTTTAAGATTTCGGAAAGGAAGGAAATAATAGCTCGATTCGACTCGAGCGTGGGCGTGGATTGCGCGGTCGGTTGCGTGGGCTGAAACCGGGAACGTTTAAAGAATGTTGCCGATGGAAGTTGTTTAAAGCACACCGATGAAAACGCGGGCAACGAGCCGAACTTGGTGTTCTCGATGGGAAACGTAATCGACGAACCGTCAACGGCAGATACCGTACCGTTTCCAGCGGAGTGCGACGCGTCGCGTAGGCGTTCGCCGGTGCTGGAGATGCGGGATTGTCGAAAATGGTATATAGAAACGTGAGTGGAGATAGTGTGTAGGTGCGGTCGGAACTTCGATAACGCCAGTTTGCCATAGGAAACTGACTATTCGCGCTCGTGCACACGACGATCACTCGGAATCGATAATTCACTCGTAACAAGTCTTTTCCATTTATCATAATGATCGATTCGAATAATCC